ATCGGGAGTACCACACTTGAGCTATTAAAAAAGTCTCTCTCTCTCCACCTGAAACTCTCATTTCACCCCTATGACGTCTCTCCAATTTCGACCGTCTCGCCACACCTGCCGATCGCTTCGACGCCGCCGCCATTTCGGTGGGACGTCTAATTTTCTAACGGGCGATCGTTAGGGGCCACCTCTAATGCCGCGCAACCCTTTCGCATTAGCGAGCATCGGTAGCGCGCCGGTGAAAATTGATTACCGATAGCGCTCGCTAGATGGCTCTCTGCGCGTCCCTCTCTCTCTCCACTCGGTGCCCGTGTCCGAGCAGTAATGATGTTTTGATGCGGGACCCGGTGCGCCGCGTATCGACTGCAGTTAACTAATGGAAGCTCTCCGATAATTGCGAATGGTCGCGGAGTAAATGTTGCCGGGGCCCGCAGTAATCATCGTTACCGCGGCCGGCCTCGCGGGTGGCCCCAGGGGTGGCGGGGCGCCGTGTCAAAAAGTTATTACCGTGATACGCGCGCGAGAGCTCGTCAACTTTTACTGGCGAGTAAGTACTCCATTACGGTGAACGATCGAAATTCACTTTGCACTTGCCCGTGCCTACTTGCGCCACGTCGCCCGCGAGCTTTTATCGACCACCCGATGATCCCCTGTGCCGGGAATCTCCCCGTCTCACTTTTATCCCCTTTATACGCGCCGCCAGAACGGACGGAATTACGAGACGACGCGATCGAACCGGAATTACTTGAAAGTACTTATAAGACCGTAGTGGATATTCCTGCGGCTGCACTATCCAGTACCCATTATCAGTCTCCCTTCGCCTCTTAATAATCGTAATTATGCCATGTGGATTCAACGAATGGTTAGGAAGACAATAATTGTAATAATCGTAATCATATTGAGTCATATAGGATTACCTTGCCAAAGACGTATGGCCCCCAGGGTTAACATAGACTGAGAGAAACAAAATTCATTGAAACTAAATAATACATATATATTTTTTTCAATAGTACCAAAGAACTAATTATTTGACTCAAATAAACTCAGATATATTCTCGTAATCCTAAAAATCCGTTGCATCCAGTTTATTCGTGTCAAGTAATTATTCCTTGAATTGACAAAATGTTTCTTTGGGACCGTTCGGAGAAATATTTCTTTGGTTCGATGAAGATTTTCTTCCTGAGGGTAGTCAAAGAACAAGATACCAGTAGTCGCAGGCATTATCCATATCGCAACTTCACCGCATAATTAATATTACCAATCCAAATGGTAATCCCTGCTGCAACTATTTAGCTGTGGAAACGGCAACTATCGACAAGGTTACACCTACAATTCGATGCGATCGGTCTCACCATTTGTATGATTCATACAACAATATCCTAGCCCCGTTGCTATAGTACCTATGTGCATCGAAATTATTTCTTTCTCGTGAAGGAAAGATATAAAAAAAAAAAAAAGAATGAACGAGTTTGCCGCGTCCTGCAGCCGGAAACGTGGAACTTTCCGCCCCACGTGCCACTCTTAATATCTGCAGCTCCGGGTGCATAATCGCGTTAGCGGCGGAGATAAACTGCGAATCGGGGGGCGGGAAATGCGCTATGGCGAAGTTTATGACGGGTAAAAAAGGGATTCAAGGAAATTCCCGAGTAGTGCCCGTCAAAATACGTCCGCGGGGGTGTTTTCGGCGACCGCGGAAACCGAGCGCGGTGAAATATCGATGACGAGGGGCACACGCACCCCCTCCGGTGGTTTATCGCAGCGGACGAAGTCGCAGGGCGGCGCGCCGGTGGGAACTCCCGGCACATAATCGGAGCTGCATTAAAACGTCGAAAGCTCGAATCACGATCGGCGGGGAGGGCCCGGTAAAAAGTGGCTCGTCATCCGACGACGAGGGGGCGGCCAAACGACCGCCGTATGCGGCTCTCGCCGATAGCCGCGTTACATAAACCTCCCGCTCAGTATTACTCGGCGATAACTCGGCGTCGTTGCGAGGCCGAGAGATCGCACATCCCGTGACGATTTTACGACCTCGCCGTTTTTCGCGCGCCTCTTTAAACGCCGTATCCGAGCGATTTCGACGTGTCGACCAGGGAAACCGATCCGGTCTTGGTTTTGCCCCCGCTACTCGCCGATCTTGCAAAAAGTGCAATACCACGAAACAAAACTGAGAGACGTGAACGGTGCACCTCCAAGGGGATATTTTTTCTCGCTTAAGGTGACGTGAAAGTGGCGCCAAAGCGGTCTCTCGTTTGTCAAACTTTTCTCCGAACAGGGTACCGAATCGTTTCAAACTTTACAAGGTGAATATGGAGACTATAAGGAAGGTCCTAACACCCCTGGGATTTCGATTTTTTTTTTATTTCTTTATAATATCGATTATAAGATATGAAATTTCACGGGGGGTCAGGACCTTCCTCGCAGCCTCAATATTCGCGTTGTAAAGTTTGTAACGATTCTTTCGCAGCCCCTTTAATTCGAGATAATTATTCAGAAACGTTTCAAGAGCGACGATGAATTTTGAGTAAATTCAATAACAAGCTGAGGTCGATTTTCTCGGCCGCTTCCCTCCGTTTCCGCCCTTCCGGGCGGGTTAAGTTTTTCCGGGGAGGGCGATATTTTCGCCCGGTTTCGTCCGGGCGGGGGTGGTCGGGCAGTCGCTTGGTTTTCTCCCGGGCGAGAGAGGTGGGCGCGCCATTGTTCGGGCGATATTTCAGCCACGGGGGTGTCCGGGGTGCTCGGGGGTGGCCGGGGGCGGGAGTCAGCTGGCTGTGACGTGCCGCCTACGCCGCCAAAGGGGAACCAGGAGCGCTTAGAACCCGCCGAGGGCGGGGGCGGCGGGATACTCTTTCATCTAACGATATCCGAGGCCTTGACTTTGAGAGGAGGGACCGATTACGAGTCCCTCTCCGACCTCTCGTCATATCGGTATTACCTACTCCGGTGGTGGCGCCCCTCGCCCTCCGCCACCCTCGACCTAGTTACCGAGTCCACCTCCTGTCGACTCGCACCCTACCTTCTGAAACTGTCTATCGTTCCGCGACCTCGCGAGGTCGCATAACCCGATCTCTCGGTATCATTGATCTCATGCTTCTTCGCGTAAAAAAAAAAAGATTGCTTCCCACGCATGAAACTTTTCACCAAACTGGGTCTACGGAATCATTTCAAACTTGACAAAGTGAATGGTGGAGGCTATGAATAAGGTCTTGACACCAATGGAACTTCAATTAAAGAAATATGTATATAGACATTTTAAACATTTTGTACGAAAGTTGACATTTCATTCCTTCGTTATAGCCTCCATATTCACGTTGTAAATTTCGAAACCATACGATAGCCCCAACTCGGAAAAGAAATTTGGGAACGACTGACCTCTCAGGTACCACTTTCACGTCCCCTTACGTCGTAGTCATACTAAAGTAATACATAACGAAAGTTAGACAAAATGCATATTGATGTTATAGGGTAGGGGTGGAAAGGCGATCTCGTATTTTGAGGTTCTGGGACTTGTCGACTAAAAATATGATCGCACCTCGGTGATAGGTTGCACAAGAGTACTCGTGGAGAGAACGTCTCCAATCGCGACACCCCCGACTTTGATGGATATAAGAGACGGAGCGCGTTCAGAGGTGTCGGCGCGTACCTAATCGCGAGAGAAGGCGCCCCTAATCGGTTTGGAAGTTCCTTTCCCAGTCCGTTAGACAGGATCCCCGACTTACGAGTCTCCGGGTGGCCTTGGGAAGCGACCGCGCGCGAGGAGTTTAATAATTATTATTCATAAGACTCTCCTCCGGGAGTCGGCGAGGCGTGAGGGGCTAAGCAAGAAAGATGCGCCGCAAAACAAGGGGATGCCGCATCGCGGAGGCTGCTGGGCCCGACGCCGCCCCCGGTCGACGCCGGGCGTCGGGGGTGGCGGTGCCGGACTCAGTCGAGCGGAAACCCAATCACTTCCGGCGTCTGCGCCCATTAGGGCGCCGCGACGCTGACGTCGGCTGACGTACGCCCCCTCGGCCACCCCGCCCCTTCTTGCGCCCTCCGGACTTAGCAGCCCTCCTTGACTAACCTCGAAACAGACCGTCCGGGCGAGGTCCATTGTTCGCTCCGACCTCTTTCGAGGGCTCCACTTCCGGAAGTTAACGATCCGCCGACCGGAAGTCCTCCAAACTTCACGGCGATAAGGATAAGCCCCCTCGCAATTCCGATACCGTCTCGACGAGTCGGGTCTTTTTTTATGTGACCAATAATTCAGTGTCCTGTCCTGAGAAAAAAGAAATTTCATTGAACCAAAGAAACGTTTCATTAAATAATAGCAATGAAGGATTCTGTCAATTTCATGAATACTTATTCCTTGCGGATAAAGTCGAATAAATTGCACGCAACGTTTCTTCGGCATTAGGGATATTAATTCGAGTTTATTCGAGTCGAATACTTATTCTGTGAAATTGAAGAAAATCATTAAAAAGCTGACGGGAAGTCGGTTTTAATCGCGCGCGGCGATTAGCGTCAATTCTCGACGGTGGCGCACGTAAGCGAGCTCGGCGCGTCCACCGTCGACGCAACGGCTCGAATCGTTTATCACAATTTAGGCAACGGGCCCCCCGGCGTCGACGCATATTTCACCCGCGTCGGTAAATGGCCTCTAATTCCGGGTAATCCGCGGATTTTAATGCGACGAAACAGGTCCATCAACGCCTAACGTGGGCGCGGATTTGCCTGGCGAGTACTAACCGATGGAGGTCCACAAAAAGGCAACGTCGAGGGAGATCCGCGCTAAGTCGACTTCCGATAATTTAGTTTTTCAGTCGAAAATCGCGATCTCGATGCATATGGTATAGAATACGCCGTTAAAGATAAATATCGCAATTTTATACAAATTCGTACATGAATTTGAAATGCATGAATATCGGTATTTGCTGTTGAGACATTGAATCCTTAGTTGAAGGTAACTTTATGTTGTAAAGAGTGTGAACTTTCGGAATGCTTTTGGCTTATCTGGACTTTTTGTATTCCAGGTTTATCAACGCGAGGCGCAGAATCGTCCAGCCGATGATCGACCAGAGCAACCGAGCCGGTAAGTCGATCCCGGTATTACCGACCTCACTTGCACACTCACAAGACACATGACACACGCAGTGCGTAATTTCGAGGCGAGTGCGACCTGGGGCAGAATTTCGGGTCCTGTCCGCGTATCCCAGGGATACGTGTACACGTGCTTTCGCGAAGGTTACGCTCCTGATCCTTAAGGATTAACTCGGACTCGTGTAGGCGCAGGCCGGAAGGTCCTCGAGCGGAGGAAATTACGCGAGGGATCCTGGCAAGCTCGAGGGTCCTGCCGAAGGGTACTTTCCCAGGAATCGTGCCTTGTACTAGAGTTACTACGCTGATCGAGTCCTGCTCGGAAAATCGACTTTCCACGGAAGGATAATATTAGATCACTGGTCTCGAAGGAAAAGAGTAGGACTTCCGGAATCTGCGATCCTTTCTACGAACTGCACCGAGGAAAAAAAAACCATTGAACCAGAGAATAGCACCAAAGAAATAATTCACACAATAATTATTTCATTGAATAAATTTAGACAAATTGTCATAATTCCAAAGAAACTTTGCGTTCAATTTATTTCACTCAATTATTCTTCGAATTAACAAAATATTTCTTTGGTTCAATGACGTGTATACCTCAGTGTAAGCTTTTCGAATTCCTTCGTGTACCGAAGTAGAAATTTTAATCCTATTCAGGATCCTTAATAATATATACCCGAGTCGAGATTTTCATCTTACTTAGGACCTCCAATTGTAAATCTGAAATAGTTTTCAATGCAACATACTTCCGCAAATTTGAGGTGCTACTTTAGACCGGAAAAGTGGTAGATACTTCCATTTCTTCTATTCTTTCTGTTTGTATGCCTAAAGGTGGACTTCGCTTGAATAATGTAGGACGTAGAGAGTTGAAAAAAGGATTTAAAGTTACCAAATATTTCCATGTTTTCTATTTTTAACTCCGAAGTGATTTAATTCGCTAAACAGAACAAAGAGTGAAACAGAATCAAAAGAAGTGTAGGTTAGATTCCGAGGGTTGAAAGTGGGGCCAAGAATTTGGACTCTCAAGGACTCGGCATTTCGAGTGGTAGATCCCTCGGACTGGAGCACCTCTTCCGGAGGGTCTTCGGGGTTGAAGAAGACGTCCCGATCGGAGGTACGGTCGGTAAGGTCGCGTTTACGAGGCGAGAATCACTCGGTTTGCAGTAAAAGGCCGCGACGAGGAGGTCTCCATCCTCCTTTTCCGAGGGTCGAAGGGTTCCTCGTTTTTACTCAAGGAGCGACCGGGGAGCGGCGAGACGAGGAGGTGGATAACGCCCGGATAACGCCCGGATAACGCTCGGATAACGGCGGGATAATTGGTAGCGGTGATCAGACCGAGTTTTACGATCCGGGAACACGCGGCTCGCTTCGGGGGTGCGTCCCTGTCCCTCGCGCAGCCTCCCGCACGGTGCCGTCTCTGTCGGCCTCCTTCCGCCCCCAGGACCTCCCGCTCGAGGACCCTCTCCCTTTGTCTCTCCTCGAGAAAACTGCGGAGGAGACCTTCCCCTGGCCAGGGGCCGAGGGTGGTCCGACCCAAGAGCCGAAACACGGGCCGATTCGCGCGCACGTTTACGAGCACGACCCTCCAACCCCCCAGGACCTCGTCCTCGTAAACACCCACTGAGTTACGGGTTGTTTGCCTTGCCGAAACCGGGCTTTAGGGGTTTCCTCGATTTTCCTCGAGTCCCGAATTTTCCCAGGGCGCGAGGAGGGCTATTTCGGGGGCTGGAGACGTCGATTTCGGCCCGTCGTCCCCGTAATTGAGATCGGTGACCGCCGACGAGGCCTCGTACTTAGACCGGGGGCAGGGGGCGAACGACCGGCGCGGTTGTCCCGTCGACCAAAGTGGAAACCCGTGTCCACCGGATTATCATCCAGGAGTCAATCCTGATCACTGCCATCGTCGCTTCTCTCTTCCCGCTTTCGGGACGCTCTTTCCTCCCCAGCGCGCGGAGCCCCCGCCGCGCGCCCCGGCAATTCGGATTTCGATTCCCGTAATTTAAAAAACCACTCCCAGAGCCCGTCCGTTGGATTCCTTCCCGGAACGTCGATCGAGGGCGTCCCTCATTTTCCCCCGGAAAGTCGGCCGCTTCCCTCGGGACAAGCGAAACGGCGTATCAAAAATTAACGAAGGACGCATCGCACCCCTGGGCGAGTTTAGCCTCGTCAAACGTGGACCGATTGAATCTTCCCCTCCTCTGGAGGAGGGAAATTTATTACCGCTAATTCGGGCCGCAATTGCAGCGGGGGAGGAGGCCTCGAGATCGCGGTAACCGGAGCGATGGAAAACTACCGGCGTCGCGACGCCACCCATCCGGCCGATGACTCGCGGGTGGCGGGTCATCGATCATACTTTCATTACGGGAATTGCTCGGGCGAGCTCGGAATGATTGGTCCATCGGACGTGTCACGCGTTTATTTTCCGCAATTTTTGGAAAAATCCCGGGATAACGTGCAGGGGAGAAGAGGGGCGCTCGAAATTAGTGTAAAATTAGCTCGTACGACGGCAACAGCGGTAAACACGCGTAGAGCGGTTTTACGCTCGCGTTCCTAATACCGCTCGTAAAAGCCAGGATCCCTTTAAAATCCCCCCCCTCTCCCCTCCCCGCGCGCCCCTTCTCGATCGCATACTCGCTCGCCTACGCTCGAAAGAGAGAGAGGGAGAGGGACGGGACCCAACTATAAACTATAAAGCTGCGGTGCATCGTTTTACGAGGTACAAGCTGCCTCTCCGCGGGCGCGCAACCCCCGCGACAGATTCTATTAGGTTTATATCATGAGGCAGGTCTTCTACATCGACGCGGTCTCCGCGAGTCGCGATGTCGCCGCGTTAAACGAGCGGCGTATCCGCGGCCGAGGCCAGGGGCACCCTGTGCGTTTTTGCCGGACGGGTGAAATTGAAATTCTTTCGCAGTCAGGCTCCTCAAGCTGCGATATCGCCACGTTAAATGAATGGCTAAATCCTTGTCTAGGGTCAGGGTCACGTTGTGCGTTTTCATCGGATTGACGAAATTTAATTTCCCTCGCCCTTGTCCAATCGTCCGGTGGCAGGATGCGGTGGACGCGGCGAAAACGCATGGCGTACCGCGTTCCGTTTGGGTACTGGGGCCCTCCCCGCTCCAGATAACCGATTCGTCTTCGCTGACTCTGCAAAATCGCACGACGCGACAGTGGAATAAAACACGCGAATAGCCTCCAATTAAACGACGAGGTAGATTGAGAACTAAGTCGGAAGAAATCGTCGGACCTCGCGATCGCGTTAAACGGGCGACACGGATCTGAAGTTCGAGTACGAAACTCGCGGCGAATCCTCATAGGAGGAATTCTCCCCGGGAAAAAGAGCCCCGAGAAACCCGGACGCGCGCCCGGAGGAGGCGATTCCGCGCCGCGCAGACGTATATCCGGAACGACGCAGTAAAAACGTAACGGGCGCCCCAAAGTACCGTAAAGCTCTGACCGTACGGCACACTTCGGAAGGACGGTAACGCGCAGTCCGGAAGCTTTTTCCGGCTTTACGTCGCCTCCAAGACGTCCAAGAGGAGGATAAGGGGGAGACTTTTCGAGCTGAACAGTCGGGATGAAATTTGGCATAAAACTCGAGCGCTGATTTTTGACCGTCCTTGCAACGACAAGGATTTTGGAAAACGAGGATCCCATTCCGGCGAAACGAGCGAATTTTCGATTTTCTCCAGCGGAAGGACCAAATTTCAATCCCTCGAGTGGAGGGAGTAAATTTCGAAATCTCGAGCGGGAAGTGGTAATTTCGGTCGGCGAGATTGTGCGATCGGCCAAATCGGTCTTGGTCTTGAGGTCCTACCATTATCACGAGTTCAAGACCAAGACCATGCCAGTCTTGATTTTCTACTTCCTCGGCGTCACCGAAATGTCGATGCATTTGCATCTCAGCGGGATGCACCGCCACGTTGCGCTGGATTTTCGCGCCTCCTACGCGTATCTTCGGGGCGTCTCTTCTGAGATCTACGCGTAGTAACGAAACGACGACGTAACGACTTCCCGTGAATCGTTGGTCGTTCCCGGGTCTCGCAAGGCGTCTCTTTAAAGCCGCCGAATGGACGCCTCTCGAGACGCGGCCCCCGTCAGCGTCTCTATCCGCGACGTCATAATTGCTGCACCTCGGCTCGCCTCGTATTATTCCCCGCATTCCGTGGTAGCAGGGGTCACGTCGGTACGACAGAAACCCGTCGTAGATCACGGGGCGCGGTTTTGTGCCGCGTCTCACTTCACGGAAGCCTGATTGTCATTTACGACCGTCACTTTGCGCGCCTCGGCCGAGTGGGCCGGGATTTTCGACGCGCCCGAAGGACACGCCGCGTCCTGGCCCCTTCGAGTCCGCCATTTCGGCGCGACAGTTAACCCATATTTGAGGTGAATTTAAAATTAGAAAACCAACGTAGGACGTAATTGAGAAATATTGCAAAGATTTCATGATTACCGACGCGGGCGAAAGACACGCCGCATCCTGGCCCTTCCGAATACGCTATTTCAACGCGACATTTAACCTATACTTGATATGAATTTAAAATGGTAAGGACAATATATGGCGCAATTGAGAAATTTGCAAATTTCATGATTCTTTACGCGTCCAAAGGGCACGCCGGCTCCAGTACTGAGAAACAAGATTTAATTGACGGAAACAAATATACATTGTTGCCTGGATCATATGCAGTTGCAAGAAACAATTATCTCATTGAGAAGAAAGGTGATATCGTTGATTTAAAGAGATTTTCTTTACTCCTACTGACATTTCTTTGGACGAATTTGATCGCAGAAGTTTGTTGTAGCAATGCATATTTCTTCGAGTTGACCAACTCTTTTTCTCAGGGTGGCAAAGACAGTATCCTCCTCAGTTGAGAAATCACCAACTTTCACGGACTGTCAACGCATCCAAAGGAGACGTCAATTCAACGGCGCTAATTAATCCAGATGTATATCGAACTTGAAATTGGAAAGACAATGCACGTCACAGTCGAG